GATCTCCAACATCTAAAAACAAATGTGTTGATGGCAGCAGCACGGCTGATATTTCCCTAAATTTACTCAATAACATAAAGTAACTTGTTAAAGAAAAATCTACTTTGAGAAGTAGTTGTATTATACTGTACTGTTTAATTTTACTTAAACAATATCTCTGTAAGTGTATAGCATATGATTCTACATAATACTGGGCCTGAAATTAAATAAAAAAATGTATTTAATAATTAATTTATTTAATAATTTAATAATTAAATAAAGAAAACAATAAATTTATATTTGTTGTATTTGAGGATGAGCAGTATTAGGAACATGAAAAGCTGAATTCACCATAAAATGAAACCTTCGAGTCAGGAGACTGATGCTCATCCCCACAACTCAACTATTTTCTTTTAGCTTAAAGGAATCGAGTCACATATAGAACTTCCTCTACTTATGTTAGCCGTTTGAATTTTCTTCACCTGCACCATTCAATCCACCCTAATAGAAAAGACTGAGTGATTTCAGGAATACGCCCTTAAAGCGCCTCATCTTTGCAGAAAATAACCGCACTGTAAAAGGAGGAAGTGTGTTGCTTGGGTTACAATAAAAAGCCTCTCACTGAGCTTTTGTCAAGAAACAGTTTCACTGAATTCAAGATCCCATTACTGACATCTGATGCAGAACCAATGCCGATTATAGAGGGAAGCCTCTGTGCTCCTGGATGGTTTGCAGACCTGTGCATAGATGCTTTAACCTGCTGCTAAATAGCCTTTGGATAAGATCAAATCTAATTACAGATCTCAGAAATGTCTCCCTCACCGTTTACTAAGACATCTAAGAGTTAATTTAGAAATTGACCATCCCCATCGCATCACAAGCTCTTTTCTAACTCCTTTTAGTTGTTTAAGGGAATGTTTTAAAAATCCTATGACTTCTGATGTGTGGGAGTTTGAATAACCTGTAATTTTGAACTCCACACTTTAATACTACACAACAGAATTTTAAGTTTGATTTTTTTTCTCCTACTTTAATTTTAAAAACATCTAAAGGAAATCGAGTCGCAGCAGGTGTGATTCATTTCGGATCAGAGCCTGGGACTGAGTCAAGAAGCAGTCCTGGAGTTCGGTCCAAATGTCTCAGGGTTTTATCTCTGCCCTCTCATCACACCTGTGTTGGCAGATGAATCCACCTCCTGAGCCGGTAATGGAGAAACCAGCAGGACTTTTACAGTTTACAGCTTCTCAGCTCTGCTTTTGTTCAAACACATAAAGGCTGTTGCAGAAAATTTTATGTTTTTCTCAACTTTTTCTTTAACTATTTTCATGTCTAAACTACAAAACAGTTCAAGCTAAAAAATTATTTGATTTCACTTACTGCTAAAATACAAATGTAAATTTTACCCTCACCAATAGATTTAGAATTAGCAAAACTCACCTATGGAGTGAATTTTGTTCCATTATTGTTAGAAGCAACCAAGGTTTAAAAAGTTTAGAAATTTAGTTATGAATTCTACTTTTCAATTCTACTTTAGTTTAGATTTTTATTTACTAGTTTAGTCTTTTCTGGCTAGTTTAAATTACTGTAGCCTTTATTTTTTGAAGATGTTTAGTTTCACAGCTTAGTTTCAATTAGTTTCAGTTATATTTCAGTCTTTTGTGTCATACGACTGGTGTACCATAGCCTGACGTACAGTAGTCCTACTCAATTCTAGTCAGAATATGAGTCTGATACTGCTCCATAGAGCTGTGATTATGGGGCGTGTTTTGAACGAACCAGGAAAAAAAATGCCTCTGCACTCAATTGGATAGACCAACGGAGTGCGTGACGTATGTTAAGCGACGCATAGTTGTTGTCAACAAAAATCAAAGCGTGCAGTTGCACGCCTAGAATAAGAAGATGAGCCTTGATCGCGTTTCTCTGTTCCTCTTTTAAAATTAATTTGCTGTCGATATCTTCTAGAACAGACCTGATAGCAGAATCTACACACCTCAACTCTCCAGCGGCAGCCATTGTTGTCACCCAAGCGCGCTTTGGTCACGTGGTTGATTACGTTACTGTTGATCATCTGTCCATCATCGTATAAAGCCCGCCCTGACAATTTGATTGGCCCGCCAGATATTGTGCTAGCATACTCGCGCTACTGTTGAGCAATGCCAGACCGAACTTCCAGACCTCAAACGTAGTGGGCGGGACTAAGTTCGGAATGGCACCCAGGCTAGGTGTACCAGGGACAAGACTGAAAAAGAAATGAAAATAGAAATAAAATGTAATATAAGGACAGATACAAATGATTGCCGCAATGCAATCTACTTGTGTTAAGCGGTTCAACAAAATAAATCAATAACAGCAACCGTAAACTACACCTCACATCATTATAATTATTAAGAAACAAATGAAATATAAACATGTTCTCTATAAAAAAAAAATCTGCTAGTTTCGTAAATCTAAAGCAAAGTTTAAAAAAAAATGTTATTTTTCAAAACGTCTTTTTTTAACTAGTTTTACGAATTTAATTTTTTTTAAGGTGTGTTTTACAGATCCTCTATCGGGGTTTAGAGTTCAAACAGACACCTAAAGCTAAGTTTATTGCATTAAATATGACTTCATTAAAACCCTGTCTGGGCCCACTGCCAGTGGTCGGTCCCTATTTCGAATTATTGATTTACTTTGATTTCAGGTCACTGATTTTAAAACTGGAGGCGCCCTCACCTTCCAGTACTGTGCTATGGCTCCACCTTCGGTGCATTGAACTTAACTTTCCAAGTAGTTGGATATCTGTAACTGGATCTTATAATCCAAATACTAAAATCCACCTACAGAACTGAAGGCTCATATTGGATGATAGTTGAATTGTATACAAACAGCAAGAGAATACACTTCTCTTGTTGATATACTTAAGTAGTAAGCCACCCATCCTGCATACAGGAAGCCTGGGTCCGTATCCCAGCTGGGGGCAATGAGCTGCCAGTGTTGGTCCTTAGGCAAGACCCTTCCCACTAATGCCATCGATGAGTACCGACAAATAGGGCACTGATACCATTTTGATAGGCAAAAGTTTATTCAACTATTATCACCCATTCCAGGTAGGCAATAAAAAGTTCTACTGGATTCACTTTGTATTAGTCTTTTTCCTGCTTCACAAAGGTAGGCAGCAGCTTGACAAAGCCATGATGGCAAATTATTTTACATCCAAGTAGTATGCGGTTGTTCATATATACACACACACATCAATTTCAAGCAGATGGTATCGGTATGGTATCGGCCAATACTGCACAGCCAGATATCGGGTATCGATATCGGGGCCAAAAAATGGCATTGGTGCAACACTAGTCAAAAGGTAAACAACCAGAAGTTTCTACAAGAATTATCAGTAAAAAAATGTTAAAACTCAAATCAGTCGACAATGAAACCCTTAACACTGGCGATTAGATAGATACATACCTCGTTTTAGGCCAAAAACGTTGTAAGGTTCAAGTAAACCTCTATTACTTATTGAAAATTCTTTAAAAGTTCCTCCACAAAGTGGTAGCTGAGGGCAATGAGCTGCCAGTGTTGGTCCATAGGCAAGACCCTTCCCTCTAATGCCTGCTTTTGGTTGGCGGCCTAGTGGTTGAGGCGTTGCCCTTGCAATCCTAAGGTTCTGAGTTCAAGCCCCACTCCCACCGACTGCCACTCTGGCTCCCTGAGCAAGACCCTTAACCCCCACACTGCTCCATGGGCGCGGCACAATGGCAGGGCCACAAGGGAATGGGCTAAATGCAAAGAGTTAATTTCATTGCTCTGTACTTGTGACAGTGTATTGACAATAAAAGCTAGAAGAAGAAAAAAAAAGAGAAGTCCTTAATACCTACTAGAACAGCTGAATTTTATTTTGCGAGGTATGAAGTAAAAAGGACCGGATGCTAGGATCAAATCAAAAGGTGCTTTAACAAAGCGTTTATTTTTCTGAAGAGTTCTAATAAACAGGTTTGTTTTTCACTTCAAGTAAAAATATCTCATTTAAGGTCAGAAATCATCCATTCGATCCTGTTCTTTTACAGTAAGCATTGCTTAGTTTAGGATACAAGAAGGTGAGCTAGGGAAAAGCCTTTACATCCTTTTGTTTTGACTGGGAAAAAAAACACCTCGAGCATCCATTAAAACCACAAGAAACTTTAAATCGCTCCCCTGGCTCTGTGAACCTTATTACTGATGCAGTCCTCTTCATGCCTTGATGTTTTACACCCCGCAGCTAAATGCTAAGTGGTCTAAGGTAGCTCCTTCCCCGGCGGCTTTTCTGTCCCCTGCAGCTCGCCCTCCCTGCAAAAAAAAATAAAAATAGCAGCTTGGATGGCTGTTGTGTTATCTCCCGGGCTGGAGAAAATGAGCAGGTCCTCTGTGGATCTTGTTTATATCCTCTCAGGAGAGGTGATGCTGAGGGGTAGCTTGTTAAAGAGCCATTTGAGACGCATTAGGACACTCTTGCAAGCGTTTTTCTGGGGTTTAAATGTTGTTTTTTCCCACCTCTCTCTCACCATGTTGGACTCATACTGCAGGCTTTTGCACTTAAGCCGCCGAGTCTAATAGACACCAAGATGCCTATAACTGCACACCCTTGAGAAAACAACAGTCCACATTACGATGGGACGAACCATCCTGACAATAACACCCACAAAAACACCTTGTGGGCTGCCACGTCTCAAAGCGCGCACTCAACCAATCAATACCAGAGATAAAACTGCTGCTAATTGAAGTGGAGCGTCTTTGCTTCTAATCTGTTGGATAGAGAGCATTTATAAAAACACAACATAGTTATGGTATCTGGGAGAGTTGGAGAGGCCGTGGATGGTAGTTGGCCAACACTCAAGACGTACATTTGCTCCTTGAGCTCAATAAAAAGCTCAATATAGATCTCTGTCATGCTCTGGAGTCGTATCTGTCTTATTGCTTTGTGGGACAAAAGCACAAAAGACTGATTGCTTTTCTAACTTTGCTTCGTTAGTTTAGTTGACCTCTGTTGTTTCTCCCTCTCTCTGCAGAAGGACCTTTCGATGGAGAAGCTGGCCATCAGTCCGAGTCTTGACATCTCCTTAGACTCCTTAAACAAGCGGAACCACAGCACCGCCGGCAGCCTGTGTGCAGACACGGGCTTGAGTGGCCTAAAGGGTGACGCCAGTGCTGATGCGGGGAAGAGTGGCTGCAACGTGAGCGAGCCCTCACCTTCCTCTGGTTTGGCAAAAAGGCCTGGAGTGGATCCTGTGGGCTCCCTCTGTGACTCTCTTTATGACAGCTTCTCCTCCTGCACCAGCCAGGGATCCAATGGTGTATGAGAAGATGCTATACATGAGGATTTGAAGCTGGGTCTTAGTTTCTGGGCCTTTACCTTATTTACTTATCTTTTCAAATTCTATCAGTGAATTAATAAGTTGGATGCTGAAGGGTACAGTTGGTGCTTTAGGTAGATTTGTAGCTTGATTTTCCATTCCAAGTGGGTATGAGAAACTGAAAGCTAGTGTCTCTGCTCTTGGCTCAGTCACCAAGGTGTTTTCTAGAACCCAGTCATACACATGATCTCAACCCTCCTTAAAAATCTCTTGAACTTTAATGACACCCATGTGTTTTCAGCCTGACCGCTTACCTCTTGCTAGATCTAACATGGCTGTATTGGTGCTTTAACCTAACCTGTTCTTGGGCAAAACCAAAAGCAATCCAAAAAGTTTGTCCGCCTGGGGCATTAGTCTTGGAATCAGTCTAGGATTCCACTGGAATATAATTTTATTTAGACAAGACTGCAGGCAACTTTTTGTGTTTCATAAACAGCAAAGAAATGTAGTCTAAAACATTGGGCCTTGTGTACCTCTAACCAATAACCTCTATTGGTTTTTAAGTTTTTTTTTTCTTGTAATGATACATTCATTGGTGGATTTAAAGGAGTGTTTATGAAAATCAACTGATAATCATTTGTTTAAGGTATTAATGCCCTTGTTGTTTTCTTTTTTTTACAAGACATCAAACTTTCCAAAACTAAAGACACTGACCCAGCTTTTATGTGGTCTGGCAACCCTTCAAAGAATTAGAAACAGACGCTTTGTAGGTCAAAAGTAGTGTTGTTCCGATACCACTAACAGACAAGGCCCTGATCCAGCACTAAAATAGTGGTATCGTATCATCCAGTACCGACATACTTAGCACCAATACCATTTTGAGAGCCAAAAGTTTATTCAACTATTGTCACCAATTCCAGGTACGCAATAAAAAGTTCTACTGGATTCACCTTTATTAGTCTTTTTCCTGCTTTACAAATGTAGGCAGCAGCTTGACAAAGCCATGACGGCAATTATTTTACATCCAAGTAGTATGCAATTCTTCATATACACACACACACACGTAAATTTCAAACAGATCGTATCGGTATGATGTCAGTATCAGCCAATACTGCACAGCCAGGTATTGGGTATCGATATCGGGGCCAAAAAATAGCTTCAGTGCAACACTAGTCAAAAGGTAAACAACCGGAGGTTTCAACAAGAATTATCAGTAAAAAAAAAAGATGTTAAAACTCAAATCAGTCGACAATGAAACCCTTTAACATTGCCGATTAGATGGATACATACCTCGTTTTAGGCCAGAAACGTTTTAAGGTTCAAGTAAACCTCTATTACTTATGGAAAATACTTTAAAAGTTCCTCCACAAAGTGGTATTTTAGTCTTTCCATGAGACAAAAGCACTTATAAGAGCCAACAAAGGAGGATAGACTTGCCCATATTAGAGCTTTGAATAGTTAATGTCTAGATGTGGAGGACTGGGCAACAAACTCTTACGTTGAAACAACTACGGTGGGACAGATCCTAGAAAGCCTCCTCCATTTCTGACTTCAACTTAATTTTGAACCCAGATAAAATGATATTGTATCTTCATTAAAACAAAAAACGGCCTCTGTTGGGTTGCATCAGTTGGTCATAAAATCAAGGTTGATGTTAGTCACAAGCTTATGGCTTGTCTCCTCTACTGGTTTGTGTCTCTTTGTAACAGGTTAGGGTAAGGAAAATGTACCAGAAGAAAAACATGTGTATCACATTTTCATACGGCCTAATTTTTCACAAGGTCCATCAATCCATCGACTGTTTGATCTGATCACTTCTACCTTCATAGTCGGTAACTCAGGGAAAATTCTGGACTCGCAAAGATTGTTTTCGACCCATACGAGAAACATTTGATCATCTTTTTGAGTTCAGATTAATAATTTCCAGAATCAGTTTCATTCCCATGTAGCATCACTGCAAACCTGACCTTTCTACTGTCCTCAGTTTTTTTTTTCCAAATGTTTGTATATTATGTTGTATATAAAATCATTATAAGTTAATATCAGAACGGGCATCGCTGATTCTGTGGGGAAACGTTTTGTAATGAAAGCTGTACAGTTTTTTTTTTGCCAATCATTCAATTTACTTTTACAAATCTACTGTTTAAAAAATAGCATGAATCTTTTCTTATCGGAGGTTTTCTGGTTTAAAGAGTAAATTATATTATTTTGAATCAACAAATGCAAAAAAAAAGCAACTTTATTTTAGAGTCATATTTGAACTTAAGATGTAATTATGACTTTTTTTTTGTGTCTCGGAATTTGACAAGCTGGTGCTAATAAACAGAGCCAACTTTTGATTTCTTTCTTTCTTTCTTTTCTATGAGACTGTAATAATTGTATGAAAAGAGTCTGAAAACGAAGACTTGTGTATTTTTCTAGATGTCCAGTATTTATACCCACATTTTGTACTGTCGGGCTGTAGTGTGACTGTCATACTTCACCTCTTTCCTTAAATGTTTCTTTGTAAAGAGAATTGGTTACCAGCAGTGTTACTTTGGTAATTATTGTTATTATTAATATTATTATTATTGCTGTGTGCAATTTTTGTCTGTTACTCTAGACTTTAAGGCTATATTTTATGTAACTATTTCCTAAATAAATATGAGAAATTATTTCCTATTTCTAGCTGGGCTGTTGGCTGTTTATTGATGTGGAAACTGGAGATTTTTTTTACTTTTATATTTGTTTTTTCTCCCCCCTAAGTGAGGAGGCACCATGTTTGTAATCACCGCTTACCACTCGCAATCTGTCGGCGACGGTTCAAGCACCTCGCCACATTCAGTCCCTTGATGGGTAATTATACGCGTAGGGCTGGACGCGGTTGGTTTGCGCACGCTCGGATGAGTCTGCCTCAGCACACTATGGGGGTTATTGATCACAGAGCATGAGTGTGGGGGTAGCGGGGGCTCATTATGCTGAAAATGGAGGTTAATTTGTGCTGAGTCGATGATGTTTCTATTATTTTAGAGGATGGGGGAACAAAAAGTCTGAAAATAACGAGGCGGAAATGCGGTTTAGACTGGAGCCTTTTTCAGGCCTGTCATTATGAAAGAGGTTAATTAAGCAGATTAAAAATGTTATTAACCTTTACGGGCTAGCTTGGTGTTTTAGATAATTATGTTTGTTCACAAGAACTCTTCTTGGGGAGACTAAAACTTTAAAGCATTTGCATATGATAGCTATTTACATGCAGAATATAAGATGGTACCTCATACCAGGTTGTGTTTCCTAACAGTGATTTTCTCATTTTAAAAGGTTAACTGTAAATCAAACATGTTAGGCTTACACTATAAGCAGAGGGAATAAACTTTATAAATTGTTTAACTCTTTTATCAGAAATTTACTTTTAATGCGTTATTTTGTATTCATCCAATTACTAACTTGCTTGTACAGTAAATGAAGCTACGATCTATTTAACTGTGGAAGTAGGAGTTTCTGAGATGTACCCCTCAATCGAATCCACCCTCAAAATCAAATATGGCCGCCATTTCTACAGGACACACTAAAAGATGTGTTATGCAATTAAAAGCTGTTGGAACTTTTGTTATTTAATTTAATAACTTTTAGAACATCATTTGTTGTTCTGTGCACCCAAATGGAAAAGTGTGATTTTAGCTTAAATCTACACACTTATGGAATAAATTCACAACTATAAGAACTCTTGAGCAAAAAGTTATTCCCATTCCAAGATAAAAACGCTTCACTAAACTTGTGAACCTCAACTAAACGAATTAGTCCCTACGTACATATAGGAAAGTGAATTAAAATTGTTGAAATCATATTTAAATTACCGTATTTTCCGGACTATAAGCTGCTACTTTTTTCTCCAGGCTTACAAGAAGGTGCGGCTTTTCTGCAGAATTTTACTGCCAAAGGGGGAAAGTCAAAGTTAGAAATGAAGGAAGGGGCTAATTTTTATTCAGCACAATTAAAAAAGGAAGAAAAAAAAAAAAAAAGCCCAGTACCAGTTGTATATGTATGTTTCTACTTTTCTCAAAAAGTTTTGTGGGCGGGGCTTATAGTGAGGTGTGCTATATAGTCCAGTAAATACGGTAAATAATACATGATTACATTTGAGAATGGATTCTGTTTGAGAACCAAAGTTTATCTTGAAAAGTAAATTCTAATCACGTTTTAAATATATATATTTTTTAAGTTTAAATAAATAAATGCTACATCTACTTATTTTATTGGACATAATACATTTCTTTATTATATATTTTGGAACTCCATGTACCTCAGGGATCACATCACAGTGGTTGTAAAAAACAATTTGCAATCATCCATTTGGTGACCCTGACTTTTAGAACCCCTGGCCTAGCGTATTAATCAGTGCAGGTGATTAAGCCATGTTTCGGCGTGAATGAACCATACCCTGATTCATGCAGTATGCAAATTGTACTAAGAAAGTCTCTGTGTCACTTCACTTTAGCAGCAGATATAGAATGGATGTGATTTGGAATTGATTATAAACTGAATTATATCATCTTTTTTTTCTCAACATAATCTGGAAGTTTATCTTTTTTATAAGTAATAACTTGTTTGATGGAAGCATTGTAACAGACTCATGTGTTTTTTAAATTTTTCCCTTCTGAGCCGACTGACTTCTGGTTGCTGGAACTTAAAATAAGTTAAGGTAAGCAGCTGCATAGGTTTGTGTGATTTTATCACCTGTTTTAACTTCAAGGGAACATACAACAAAACTGTTCCGTTCTCACAAAGACATTTATTTATCAGTACAATGCATACTCCAGCGGTTAGTTTACTCCATTTTCTTTTCATTATTATGGTCTTCCCATCTGTAATTTACTTTAGAGTTAGTCTAATTTGGCAGCGCTTGGAATGTCTGCTTTGCTCTTTACTTGTGAGAAAATTTCAACATGAATTTCAACTTGAGAGTAAAGTGCAAAGACAAAACTGTTGAATTTTTAGTAATTCTTACTAAAGTCCTGCATTTGGCTTTTGCAAAAATACCTGTTTCACCCTAAATGCTCAATGTTTATATATATGTATATAAGGATTGATATTTCTGCTAAAATGGAAGTGACAGCATCGTAAGTCAAACTGGTCACATTATTGTAGCTGCAACTGGTTGACAAGTGTTTATTTTTGATTTCTTGTGCCAGTTCATAGTAAAAATAACACTCTTTCATGTAAAGGCAATTAAAGTGGGAATGGGAAGAAAAGCAAACTACGTAGTATCAGAAAGGTAATTCCAGAGCTTCAAAAACCAATAAGATGAAAGGATGTGTTTAAGTGGAAAATGTTAGAAAATGCGAGAAAAGATAACAGGACGGTTGAAAATATTGCAGCCATGTTCCTTTGTTATCCCTAAAACATTTAACCTCTCAGGGTAATTCAATTCACTTCAGTCAAATCCAGTCAGACGGGTAAAGTTCAGGACTTCATCCAGTCATTGGCGTAACATAATTCACCTCTCCTGGATGAATAGTCAATATTCACTTGCATTGTGTCTATGACCCTGCAGCAATTCCTCACACTGAGCATGCATGCAGAAACAGTGGAAAGGAAAAACTCGCTTTTAATAGGAACAAATGGACACAATGTGAGCAAAATTGGAGGATCAAGGAGACAGAAGCATCTGCACAAAAGTTACATAGAAGCATTGATCCATCAATACTTTCTACGTTAGATATGATAGTGATGAACTTGCTCCATAGATTGTTTTTCTACAAAAAGAAAGTGCTGAGCAGAAGAGCTCTGGGACAGATTCAATGTCAAAAAGGATCAGAAAGAGAACATGCAGTTAGTCACGATAAAAACTGGGAGCTTAGATATGTCTAGGAGAGAAACAGGAATCGTGTTCAGACGAGGCAACTAGGAAAAGCGGAGAGAAAATACATTTATAACTATTAACAAATATTACAGAACGGGAAAATAGATATATAATTAAACAGAATGCCGAAAAGTTGGGCGGCCTTGCAGCAAGAAGGTTCTGGGTTCAACTCCCTCTTTCTGCATGGAGTTAGCATGTTCTCCCTGAGCATGCATGAGTTCTCTCCAGCTTCCTCCCACAGTCCACAGTAGATTTATTGGCTTCTCTAAATTCTCTTTAGGTGTGAGTGTGTTCATGAATGGTTTTTTGTCTCTGTGTTTCCCTGCGATGGACTGGCAACCTGTGTACCCCGCCTCTCGCCCATAGACAGCTGGAGATAAACACCAGCGTCACAGAAAATGGATGGTTAAAAATAGTCTCTATGTCCTCCAGCAGTCCAAGCCTATAGCAGCATAACTATAGAGATAGCTCAGGATAACATGAGCCACTCATACTGTAAGCCTAATCAAAAATAAGGATCAAATATATAAATTTTAAGCGTATCCACCCTCCAGACCACTCAGGTCTTCTGGCTCCAGCCTGCTCTGCATACCTAGAACCAGAACTAAACATGGAGAAGCAGAATTTAGTTCCTATGCTCCATTTATCTGGAACAAACTTCCAGGAAACTGTAAAAGTGCGGAAAGCCTGAGTTCCCTTAAATCAACACTAAAAACACATTTGTTGAGGATTGCTTTCGACTGTTCTAGTTAAACAGTTCAACTGAAACATCATTTTTATTTTCTTTAGTCCAACTGTTTTTATTGTTGTTTTTTGTTTCTGCATTTTTTATTTTATTTTTTTCCCTACTTGCTTTGATTCTGTTTTATTTTCCTATATTTTAATCATGTAAAGCACTTTGCATCGTCTTTGTACTGAATTGTGCTATACAAATAAATTGGCCTTGCCTTGCCTTGCCTTAAGCCTAATCACCTTGTCTAAAACTATACCCTGAGTCACAAATGGCTGTACCCCCAATGTAAACCTGGTCTAGAACCACCACTGATACGTCTAAAACAGTATTAGTAAAGTTTAAGTAATGCTTGAGTAAAATTATTCCTATAAGTAATTTTTTTCTAGAAGTAACTACAGGTAATATAACTGAGTAAATGTAACTACCTGATGAAAATGGCTCTCCATCTGCACATACTTCCACAAAAGGTAAATAAATAAAAAACTTTGTTCATTTCAAGCTTTTTCTGGGTAAACATTCATTTATTTGGGCTAGGGAAAAAGATCCTTGGAATATATTTTCTCTTTTTTTTGTTGTGTGTACTGTGGATAAATATCGCCCAATTATAAGTAGTATAATTTGACATGTTTTGAGTGAAGGTGTGTGAGTGATATTAACAAGGCAGCCGCCATCACGTGGTGGATTTTAAGCTTCCTGCGCTCCAGCATCTCTCCCCTCCAGTCGCGTCTGAGCGCTTCACCTCTGCGGAGCTGTTCTCCGCCTCCATCCCTGCCTCCCTCCACCACAGAGAGGATGAGCCGCTCCGCGTCCGGGTCTCCTCCGCCGTGGATCTGTCCCTCCTCCCTCTGATTGCTCTCGGTCTGATGTTTCTCCTCCGGGTATCATTCAGGAGAGGATGCGTCTACTCGTTTTGGCGACTTTATTTGGACTCTTTTTGGACACAGGTAGGTGCACAGCTATTAAATCCGTGCGCAACAGGAGAAAGATGTGAAGAGGATTTATTAGAGAGGAATCTTGATCTAAAATCAATAAAACATCAGTGTGGGGAAATAAAAAACAACCAGTATTTATGAATGTACTTA